CCCTGCTATATGTTACATCCCATAACTTATTTCTTTTATACCTGGAAATTTGAACCTCTTATTCCCCTTCACTTTTCCCCCCACTTTAAAAAATTTTCAATTATAGTTAAAATTTGATATTATTTTGTATTAATTTCAGGTGTACAGCACAGTGGTTAAACATTTGTATGATTTAAGAAGTGATCCCCGTGAGTAGTTAATTACTCACCTGGTACTATAAATAGCTATTACAATATTATTGACTATATTTCTCAATGCTTTACTTCACATCCTCATGACTATTTTGTAACTACTCACTTGTATTTCTAAATCCCTTCACCTTTTTCACCTTGTCCCCCAACCTCCTCTCATCTATCATCCTGATAAATCTAGTACCCATCTGACATCACACATAATTATTATAATATTATTGACTATATTCCTTCTGCTATACACTACATCCCCATGACTACTTTGTAACAACCAACTTGTACTTCTTAATCCCTTCACATTTTTCACTGACCCCTCAACCTCTCTCTATTTTGGCAACCATTAAAATGTTCTCTGTAGCTATGAGTTTGTTTCTGTTTTGTTTGTTTATTTTATTATTTAGATTCCACATATAAGTGAAATCACATTGGATCTGTCTTTTTCTCTCTGACATACTCTACTCAGCACAATACCCTCCAGGTCCATCCATGCTAATGCAGATGGTAAGAACCCATTCCCTTCCTTGGCCGAGCAATATGCCATTGTACATATGTACCACCTCCTCTTTATCCTTTCTTCTATCGTCAGACACCCAGGCTGCCTCCACATCTTGACCACTAAATAATGCTGCAATGAACATATGGATGCACACATCACCTCGAAGTAGTATTTTGGGTTTCTTCAGATAAATACTCAGAAGTGGAATTACTAGTTCTTTTTTTGTCTCTTGTTACAGCCTTTTAAAATTCTATTTTGTCTGGTATAAGTAGTGCTACTCCAGTTTTTGTTTTTGTTTTCCATTTTCATGTAATATCTTTTACCATCCCTTTACATTCTATCTGTGTGTGTCTTTCAATCTGAAGTGAGTTTCTTATAGGCAGTATATGTAAGGGTTTTGTTTCCTAATGCATTCAGCCACCCTATGTTTTTCATTGAAGCATTTAATCCATTTACATTGAAAATGATTGTTGATAGGTATGTAACTATTACCATTTTGTTATTCATATTTTTTATTTGTCTTAAAGAGGTCCCTCTAACAGTCCTTGTAATACTAGGTTGGTGGTGATGAACTCTAGCTTTTTCTTGTCTGGGAAGCTCTTTATCTGTCCTTCGATTTTAAATGATAGCCTTGCTGAGTAGTCTTGGTTGTAGATCCTTGCTTTTCATCACTTTGAATATTTCCTGCCAATCCTTCCTGGCTTGCAAAGTTTCTGTTGAGAAATCAGCTGAGCTCTTACGGGAGCTCCCTTAAAAGTTACTAGTTGCCTTTTTCTTGCTGCTTTTAGGATTCTCTCTTTGTCTTTAACCTTTGCCATTTTAATTATAATATGTCTTAGTGTGGGCCTGTTTGGGTTCATCTTGTTTGGTTCTCTGTGCTTCTTGGGCTTGTATGTCTATTTCCTTCGCCAGGTTAAGAAAGTGTTTTCTGTCATTATTTCTTCAAATAATGTTCTCAATCTCTTGCTTTCTGTATTCTCCTTCTGGTACCCCTATGATGAAAATGTTGTTAGCTTGATGTTGTCCCAGAGGTCTCTTGAACTCTACTCAGTATTGTTTTTTTTTTCTTTTTCTTTTTTTCCTTTTGCTGTTCCAATTGGGTGTTTTCTGCTACCTTTTCTTCCAAATTGTTGATTTGATCCTCTGTTTCATCCCTTCTAGTGCAGTCTTCATTTTAATTATTGTATTCTTCACTTCTGATTGGTTCTTTTTTATGGTTTCTATGTCTTTTTTTAGTGTTTGCTATCTCTTTGTTGAAGCTCTGACTAAGTTCTTTGAGCATCCTTTTAACCATTGTTTTGAACTCTGTATCTGGTAGGTTGCTTGTCTCCATTTTGTTTAGTTCTTTTTCTGGAGTTTTCTCCTGTTATTTCATTTGGGCCATATTTATTTTCTCATTTTGGCTGCCTCTCTGTTTGTTTCTATGTATTAGATAGATCTGCTACATCTCTTGCTGGGTGGCCTTATGTAGTAGGTGCCCTGTGGGGCCTGGGCAGAGTCTCCCTGGTCGCCTGCTCCAGATGCTCCAGGAGCATCCCTTGTGTGGGTTGTGTGTGCCCTCCTGTTATAATTGACCCTTGACTGCTGTTGGCATGTCAGTGGGTGACACTGACCCTCAGGCTGATTGGCTGTGGAATTTGGCCATGTCCACAGCTTATGGGCTGCTGTGCTGGGGAGCTTACCACATGGAGCTGGATTCGACCCAGCAAGCTCTCCTACCTGTTGAGACCACCACTTGGGTGTGCTGCTTGTGAAATTATTTGGGCAGTACTCTGCTGTGGTCTGAAGACAGTCTCCAAGTATGTTGGTTCTGGGGCTTCTTGGGAGGGTCTACGATGCAGGCCCAGGTCACCTGCTGCCTGTAATTGGTTGGGGAGTACCTGGTAGGAGCTACAAAGTGATCCACAAATTGGTTGCTGCCTGTGTTAGACCTAGAGGCATGTGAGAGAGGCCATGCTGTGAACTTAGGATGGCTGACAGCAGTACTGGGTCTGGAGTAGCTCCGCAAAAAGCCAGGACACACTGAGGCCTGCTGCCACCTGCTGCTGGCTGCCAGCTCTGGTAAGGTTCAACTTCCAATAAAGCCTCCTGCTATAGGGATTTGGGTGTAGTGGGTCTCAGTGAGTCAGCAGGGCAGAGCTGTAGGAGTTCACCAGGCCAATCAGATTCAGATTTGGCTGTAAAATTAGGGGACAGGCTCAACACAGGAAAGATGTCCTTCTGCGTGCTGCATGTGAGAAGGACAACACACAGGGAAAATGTTGACTATCCTCCAGGCCACCCTCAGAGGCCACACACCTCAGTCTGCTCAAATATGTCTTGACATGCCCCCTAGTCACTGTCCCTCCTCTGGAGATCAGGGTGAGTACCTACAAGCAAGTGAATCTGTGCATGGGCCCTTTAAGAGGATGGCTGGGTTTTCCACTGCCTTTCATCCCACCCAACAGTTGGAATTCCCACTGTTTTACACAGCCAGATGTTGTGGGGGCTCCTCTGCCTAGAACTAGTAATCCTGGCTGGGGAGCCTGGTGTGAAGCTGGAGTCCCTTGCTGCTCCATGGGGAAACTCTGTGGCCAAGATATCCTTCTCAATTTTCATCAGCCACAAAGAGGTTTGGGGCCAGCCCATTTCATATCTCCACCCCTCCTACCAGTCTTGACATCGCTTCTTCTTTATATTCTTAGTTATAAAACTTCTGTTCAGCTAGACTTCAGATGGTTCTCCAGGTTGACTGTTCTATAAGTTAGTTGTAATTTTAATGTGTTCACGGAAGGACACAGGCATAGTGTTTATCTACTCCACCATCTGGGATCATTCTCCCTGTTTGTTTGTTTGTTTTTTACCTTGACACTTTGAGGAGTACTGGTCAGGAAATTTATGCAACATCCTTCAATTTGGGCTTGTCTAATGTTTTCCTCATGATTAGATTGGGGTTATGTGTTTAGTGAATTATTCTTTTCATCACATTTTATCAAAGGGTACATGATATTCACATGAAATCACTAGCGATGTTAACCTTAATCATTTTTGTTTAAAGTATTCTACTTTTTAAGAAATACAATGTATGTGAAACTTGTTTCCACATTTTCCCTTCTTAAAAAAACTTCCATGAAAATTTCTTATTTAAAGACATCATGTAGTCCTACTCCATACTTGAAACTCCTTCTTTTTACCTATAAGTCCAAGGAGATTCAGCAATTGGAAATGATAATATCTAGAGAAATTGGTCATAAAAAAGAAGATATGCAGAGAATGATACAAACACATTTCTTCCAAATAAGTTCTTAAAATCTTGTAGTGGCCAATAGCACATAACATAATTTAATGACATGCCTTCCCTTTATTAGAATATTAACAGCTTGGAAAATTTTAGCTATCTGGCTTTAGGATGATGCCTGAGGAGTTTGGTGGTAGTAGGGAGAGAAGGAGCAAAAAGAAAAACATTGTGTGCATGTGATGAACACCAATTCTTTAAGTGTAAAACAAATACTGGACTTGAAGGTGCAGTTGTTCAAAATCACAGATGTAAGTTTTGGTATGCTCATCCTGAACTGGAAAGTGCCAATTCAGCACATTGAGAATTTAGCACAAAAATTCTCTTTTTATACATTTTCCAACCCCCTCCTAGCCAGGGAATGAGTCTTAGAAAACTTTCACTTCTTGAATCAAAGTTTGCTTTTGATTGTCACATTTCTATAGATACCAAGTCAGAATCTGATGTACAAGCCACCCCATTTTACATTATATCATGACATTAATTTTATTTCTATAGTTAAAAACAATTTATTTAGAAAATTTGGGAGTATAAACCAGTTATTGAAACTTAACTGGACTATTTATAAAATTTATTTAAGTCTTACTAAATGTCTATTTCAGTAGTTTAAGAAAACCAACTCCAAAGCTCAATATGTAAAACAATACGTGAACATTAGGGAAGGGAATGTTGGAGCGGGGGTCCCAGAGCTGTGACAATACTATTCCTCTTCCATAGACCTTGAGGTGCTTCAGTAAGCCCCTTTAAAATTCACCAAACAAGATAAATGGCTCTCACCATTCTCAATAGTTACCATTACTTTTCACATATTTTAAGAAAAAGCTCTTTGGGGGAAACATGGCATTCAAGTGTCTTTATTGGGAATATGTCAAAAGCTGAATTATTGATTTCTGAATAACTCAATCAGAATATTTTACTTAAAAAAATTAAAAGAACAAAATTTGATTAACTTTCTTCTCTTCATTCTAGAAATTACATAGCTGATTGTACAGGTATTTCACAGTAGCTAACCCATGTAAATACAGGCCATGGTTCTTACCTGAAAGTGGCCACAAAGTTCACTGTGGGCCAGCCCAAGACAAATGATTTCATGGCATTGGTGTTGCCTTCTCCCACTTCATCCACACAGCTTGCTGTCCACATATCACTTAATTTAATTTTATTTTTTATCTTAAAGTTGTTGTTATATCTAGAAAGGTGAAAACCAGACAAGAATTCTTATAATTTCGTTTCTTCAATTTTATGAGAGTTACTGTACTTGTGATAAGATGACAGTTTAATCATAGGCAAAGAATGCCTTCTTCATTGTTTTTATCTTCAGTGCCGACCACAGTAATATGGTTGGCTACCTTTGTCCAAAAAAATCTTTATTTTTTAAAAAGATTTTTATTAAAATAACTAACATACAATATTAGTTTCAGGTGTACTCCATAGTTATTCAACATTTATAGACTTGAAGTGATCACAATGGTAAGTCCAGCAACCATCTGACACTACCACACTATCACAAAATTACTGACTATATTCCCTGTGCTGTACATTAATTACACCCCCATGACTTGTGTGTTTTATACCTGAAATTTGAAATTTGAACCGCATAATCCCCCGTGCTTTAAAAAATTTTTCAAATACAATTGACATTCAATATTATTCTATATTAGTTTTAGGTGTATAACATAGCAGGCATTTATGTAACGTAAAAAGTGATCCCTCTGACTAGTACTCACCTGGCACAACACATAGCTTTTACCATATTATTGACTATATTCCTATGCTTTACTTTACATACCCATAACTATTTTGTAACTACCAATTTGTGCTTCACCTTTTCCACACTGCCTCCCAACCCCCTCCCATCTATCACCCCGATAATTCTAGTACCCACCTGACACCATAGATAGCTATTACAATATTTTTTACTATATTGCTCATGCTATAACCTACATCCCCATAACTACTTTGCAACAATTTGTACTTCTTAATCCCTTCCCCTTTTTCACTTACTCCCCAACCTCGCTCCCATCTTGCAACCATCAAACTGTTGTCTGTATTTATAAGTTTATGTTTTGTTTTGTTCTTTAGATTCCATGTATAAGCAAAATCACATTGCATCTGTCCTTCTCTGTCTGACATATGTTTCCTGTCTCTTTGTTGAAGTTCTCCCTGAGATCATTGAGTATCCTTATAACCAGTGTTTTGAACTCTGTGTCTGGTAGATTGCTTGTCTCCCCTTTGTTTAGTTCTTTTTCTGGAGCTTTGTTCTGTTCTTCCATCTGGGACATGCTTCTTTGTCTCCCTGTTTTGGCTGACTATTTGTTTCTATGTATTAGGTAGGGATGCTTTGTCTCTTGGTCTTAGTAGAGTGGACTTATATAGTAGGTGTCCTGTGGGGCTCAGTGCACAGTCTCCCTTGTCACCTGACCCGGGTGCTCCAGGTGTGTCCTTTGTATGGGTTATGTGTGCCCTCCTGATGTAGATGAGACTTGGTTGCTGTTTGCACATCAAAGGGAAGGATTAACATTCGGGCTGATTGGTTGTGAGGATTGGCATGACTACAGTGAAGTTTTTGTGCAAGGGTTGACGCTACAGAGCAGGATCTGCTTTAGCAGGGCTCTAGTGCCTGCCCAGTCTGCCCTTTTGCTGTGTTGTCATTGGAGGTGGCCAGGTGATTCTTTGGCTGGGTTTGAAGCTGCCCATGGGCATGCCAGCTCTGGGGCCTCCTGGGAGGAGACCTGCTAAATGCCAAGTTCAGCCCTACCTTGTGCCCTGCCTGAGCCATCTGGCATGAGCCACAATGCAATCTGCAGAAAGCTGTGGCCCATGCTATGCTGGGAAGTGCCTCGAGAGGCTAAGCTGCTAACTGAGGTCGGCTGCCGGTAGTGCCAAGTTTGGGGCTGCTCAGTAAGTGGTATGAGACATGCCGAAGCCAGATACTGCCTGTCTGGGGTTTTGTGAATCTTTGAGAGATTTTAGGAAAGTCCAAAGCATGAGCCACATAGGCTATTTGTATGGAAAAGCCACTGGAAGAGGCTTGGGTGTGCCTGAAAGTTGGGTGGGGTGGGCTCTCAGGGAATCACCAGGGCGGGTCCAACAAATGTTACTAGCGAGTTTGATGGAGACTCAGATATGGTGGCCACCTGTGTTTGCACACTGGGAGAGTGAGGTCTCAACAGAAAAAAACAATGGATTCTGCCAGCACTCTGTCTTGGAGATAGCTGTCCCTCCAGCCCTCGCCCTGAAGTCAGGCAATTCAGTTCCTTCCTGTATGTCCCTAGCACCTTTCAAGCTCCTGCTACTGGAGCTCAGAGAGATTGAGTCTTTCAGGGTATATGTCTGTGTTTGATCCCTTTATCAGGAACGTCTGGGACTGCAGACACCCTCCATCTCTCTTAACCACAATTGCTGCTGTTTTTCACAGCCAGAAGTTGTGGGGACTTTACAGCACTGGACCACTTGGTTGGGGAACGTGGTATGGGTCTAGGACCCCTCTCTTCTCTGAGGGGGGACTCTGCAGCTGAGATATCCCTCCCAATTTTTAATGGTCACACGTGGGTGTCAGACCATCCTGTTCTGCATCTCTGCCCCTCCTACCAGCCTTGAGATGGCTTATTCTGTATGAGGTCTGACAATTAAGTTTGCAAACTCATCCTAGAAAAAGTGCCACATACCTCATTGCTGAATATCACTACACCTTCGAAGTACTCTCCTTAGGAAGCTATGCACTGACACCAGCACCTAGTCCACCCTTCAAAGCAATTTTGGAATGCTTTTTCTAGAATGGTCATCAGAGCTGTCATTGTATTACCCTTGATGTCCTGAATGTCATCAAAATGTCTTCCTTTCAATATTTCCTTTATCTTTAGGTAAAGAAAGAAGGCATTGGGGGCCAGATCAGGTGAGTAGGGAGGGTGTTCCAATACAGTTATTTGTTTACTGGCTCAAAACTTCCTCACAGACAGTGCCATGTGAGCTGGTGCATTGTTGTGATGCAAGAGCCATGAATTGTTGATGAAAAGTTCAGATTGTCTAACTTTTTCATGCAGCCTTTTACAGCACTTCCAAATAGTAAATTTGGTTAAGTGTTTGTCCAGCTGATACAAATTCATAATGAATAATCCTTCTGATATCAAAAAAGGTTAGCAATATCTTTGCAACAAGTTTGCAAACTTAATTGTCAGGTCCCATATGTCCTTAGTTATAGGACTTCTGTTTAGCTAGACTTTAGGAGAGTCTCAATAATGGTTATTCTGTAGCTTCCTTATAATTTTGATTTGGTTGTGAGAGGAGGCAACTACAGAATTTATCTACTCTGCCATTTCAACTGGAAATTCTCCAAAAAGACCATTAAAATATTTGGCGTATTAGCACTCATTCCTACATTTATAGCTGCATATAGCCATAAACTGGCTACTTTATTTTCTATATGTGGAGCATTGCGTTTGGATCAAAATCCTAATTTTAAATTTACTGCTGATACAAAAAAATATTTCATTTACTATTTATAATTTGCTTACCTCCAAAAAAATTTGAGTGCCCTAAGGAAAGATTAAAAATATACATTATTTATTGAAATATTTATAAAATTTTCACCTTAACAGAGATAGATGCACTAAAAATATAACCTGGAATTAGAAGAATATACAATATATTTCTAGCTGAGTGGTTACAAGATTTTCTCATCTTTAGAGGGACAAATTATTTTAAATTTCCCTTAAGATTTTTTTTAATGCCATTTAGCTTTATATTCTGGCTAAAATTGAAAAACTTCCCTAAAAATAGACCCTAAACTAAATTGAAAAAATAAAAGAGGCCAGGAAATTGTATTTAAGTAGAGTTGACATAACTATTATTTATCTCTGGGGACCCAGAAGGTGATCTAGTTTAAGTTAGCAATGAAATTGCTTTTTGAAAATTTCCACCTAATTCCCCTTGGGACCTTGATACTGACACCACTATATCTTTTGACCTAATTCACAGATTTCATGCTAATAGTGAACCTAAGATAAATAGTTAGAAAGCATTGTGAAGGATAAAGAGAATGCTCTGAGAAATTTGGGTACTTCCTATCATTCAGAACCATTTTTGGAAACACTAAAAGCGAAAATGAAAGTAAAGATATTTCATATGGAAGTATTCCTAAAACTCCTCACAGAATATTTAAAGGTAAAACTCTTCAGTAGAATTTATAAAATGAAAAAGAATTTTACAGGAACTATACATGAAGGATAATATAGATTCAAAGTCTTACTTATGTTTCCTGTAGGGCACACTTAATGTAAGTGTAATAAAAAAGTGCCTGTGGCACAATGGCTACTTTCTGTATTTCATTTCAATATTTCTCACCCTATTGTTATGGATCTTTTGATTTTTTTAATGAAACACAATTTAAGATAAAATCTTATTTCTTCATGGCAATTAGGTAATATAAAACTGAAACTGCAAATCTTTTGGAAGGAAACACTCAATTGAAGATAAAATCGTCTTTCTTTTTTTTTAATTATTTTTTTCAGTTACAGTTGACATTCAACATTATTTTATATAAGTTTCAAGTCTACAGCATGGTGGTTAGACATTTGTATAATTAATGCAGTGATCCTCCCAGGTAGTCTAGTACCCCACCTGGCACTATACATAGTTGCTGCAATATTGACTATATTCTCTATGCTTTTCTTTATATCCTTCTATTTTGTGACTACTAATTCGTATTTCTTAATCTCTTCACCTTTTCACCCAAACTCTCTCATCCAGTAACCATCAGTTTGTTCTCTGTATCTATGAGTCTGTTTGTTTTGTTAATTTATTTTGATAGATTCCACTTATAAGTGAGATCATATGGTATTTGTCTTTCTCAGTCTGACTTATTTTACTTATATTTCACTTATAATACCCTCTAGGTCCATCCATGGTGTCATAAATGGTAAGATTTCATTCTTTTTTATGGCTGAGTAATATTCCACCTTATATATGCACCACAATTTCTTTTTCCAATAGTCTACTGACAGGTTGCTTCTATATGTTGGCTATTGTAAACAGTGCTGCAGTGAACATAGGGGTGCATGTATCTTTTTGAATTAGTGTTTTGAACTTCTTCAGATAAATACCCAGAAGTGGAATTGCTAGGTAATAAGATAGTACTATTTTTCATTTTTTTTTTAGGAACCTCCAAACATTTTCCATAGTGGCTGCACC